TGCCTGCTGCCCGCCCGATGGGCGCTGCGCTGGGTTCCCCGCTGGCCAGGGCTACGAAACGCGGGGGGAGAAAGGCTTGCCAGGCGGGGGGCGGGGCACGGGCCCGTGTGTTTCAGGACCGCGCTGTGCACAAATGGGGCCCATCTCAGAGGACAGCGGAGAGCTGCTCGCTGCCCCCTACGGCCTCCCGCGTCCGGGGCTGGCTTCGGGGCGCACCCCGCGCTCGGCCACTTTGCAGATTGCTCAGCGGTGCCTTTTCCCCCTGCCCCCTCTCCCCAGACAACCCGCGGGCTCATGAAGGCGAGCTGCCGGCGGGCCAGGGCTGCCGAGGCCTGAGAAGGACCCAGCTCCCGGCAGGGGAACCGAGCCAGCTGCGGTGTCTCTGTCGCCAGGGGCCCGGGGCCGAGCGAGGCTCCTGCGGGGTGAGAGGCTCCAGGGGTATCTGTCTCCTTTCAGACCTCCTGTAGCCTCGGGTAGGGGTGTGGGGAGGAGGCAGGGGCAGGACCCAAGTGATGGAAAGAAAGAAAATCTGCTCGCGGACCCGACGGATCAACCCCTGCCCCCGCCCTCCCCGCCGGGCCCCGCGGCCTAGCAGGAAAGAGCCGTGCCCCTGCTGCAGTGTAGGCGCCTCCTTTCCACGAGCTGCGAGCGGGGCGCTGGGGCTGGGCCGAGGAGGGGGTTATCGATGCGCAGGGCCCGAGCCCGCTCACCTCACGCTGCGCGTGGGCAGGGAGGAGTGGGGAGCACTGAGCAGAGCCCCCCGGGAATATGCAAACCCTGCGACAGAGGCGCCCTCCCTACTCCGGCTGGGGCAGGAGTTCCTCCAGGAACTTCCCTATTGGCTTCCCGGGAGCAGATCTGTCTCCACGCCCGGGCAGATCAAGCTCGGCTCACCCTGGGGACCCCCGCGCTGGAGCAGCCCCTGCCCTCCCCCCCTTGGGAGCGCTCCAGCAGCGAGAGCGGGACCTTGCAGGGCTGCGCGCGGGGGGGGGGGGGGGGGGGGTGGGGGGGGGGGGGATTTCTCGGCCTCCTGAAGAGCTCTGATTAATATTTAAAATGCCGGTTTTGAATAAACATAAAGCCCCAAGGCCTGGCCGGGAGACTTTCCCAGTGGGCGTTGGATCAGCTCGAAAGACGCCTTGTCGCCTTTTTTGTCTCTCTCCGGCAGCACCGAGGACGGGATGGCCGCTGTGGCACCTCTGGGCCAGGCCTGGCTGAAGCGGGGGTCTGAGGACACGCTCCCCGAGCCGCAGGGCTGATCTCCGGGCTGGCGGGGCGGCAGGGTCGGGAGCTCGCCGCCAGGCTTTGTTGCATGCCCCCGGGCAGGGCTGGGAACGCGGAGCGCGTGTTTCAGGGGCTGGGTGATGTGCAGCGTGGAAGCGGCTGGTTTATAATTTATGAAGTTTAAATGGTGGGCCAAGAAAAAGGACGACTCTTGCCAAAGTGCCTCTCTCCCAGATTGCTGATGCTTATACAAACGCTGTAAAAGCGCCAGCCATCTAGCTAAGGACCCAGGGCTTCTGCTAATTAGCTCTTGATCATGGGGCTCTATCGCGGTTACATCAAAGACACCTGGACCAGGCTAAGGGAGAAGGAACTGAATGTATTTATCACATGATTCCTCTCCCCTCCCCAGTCGGAGCATTTGGAGAAAGATTTGCAGGCTTTGGCCCTACAAAATACAGAGACCACGTCCCAGGGCTCCCCGAAACACGGTATTTGTATCCTGTGGCCTTAAACCTCTGCCCCTGCCTCCACCCCGGGATATTTCTAAATGATCCTTTTCCTTTTGTCATGAATGTAAGGAAGCCTAGGCATGTCAGCCAGCCCACAAACCTTGGACTCCAGATGCCCGCACATTCAGAAGAGTGACGTTGGGTAACATAATAATAGTCTATGGGAACACACTGGTTCTGCATTTTGGATTTAGAGGTGGATGAAATGAAATCTGTTCCAATGTGAAGAACATAACAATGATCTACAGGCACCAAGTCGTTTTACGTGTGTGTGTGTGTGTGTGTGTCCTGTTAGATTCAACACGCCGCTACAGTGTTCACTATTACTACTTATCTGAATGATTATTTATTTTACATATTCATAGCTTATCTCCGAAGAAGCCGCCGGTGTGAACATTGTTATAGAAAACACGTGGAGGTCACGAAATGGTTAAAATATTTCTTCGATCGAAGCAGTTTATTCTGGTTTTGTTTAGAGATCTACAACACGTATATTCAAATCTGCTCGGGTCAAAGTGAAATTTAACAAAAGGATACACTTCTTTTCTCAACGTAACATGACGTTTAAAAATAGCACAGAGAAAAAAAGTAACTAATAATATTCTGAGTCTTTAGTGACCCACGAAACACCAGAAAAGAAAGATTTTCCTGTGTTGACAGAAATGTAGGAGTGAAGCATTTCTCACAATAGGAACAGGTCTGAGCATCAAGGGAAGGAGTAGGAGTTGGAGTATTTTTCAAACTAAAAAGTGACTCGTCGCGACGACTTTGCTGGGAACACTGAAGATCTGAATCTTAACTGAAGGCTTTTAAAAGCGATAAGAAAAAGCTTTCTTGGAGGGGCATGTCTCCTTCCTAACAGACCTAACGCCACTTCTGCGCCTCCAAAAACCTTCGTAGCTCCACTGAGAGATTAAACACAAAGGTGTAAATAAAAAAGGAGAAAATGAGATGGTTGTAAGTCTTTGTTCCTTTTATGAAATATTGTGGTCACGGCAGTAGGAATAGTTGTCACAAGGAATGTACCAATCTCTGCTACAGAGGAGCACACGGAGATGATTTCCTAGCTGAAAGCTATAGTGAGCATCTCAGAAGAGTTTGTTTACCTTCCTTGTATCTCAGTTATTATACTTAGCGGCTTCCTTTTATTTGTATATCTTTGATTGTCAATTTTCTTACAAAGTGTTTTTTTATGCAAAAAATTAATCTCGGGCTTCCAATGCTGTCTAAAAAATTGATTTATGGTCGGTATAAAAAACAACAGTATAAATAACAAAGGAGATGGGCAGCTGCAGCATGGATTGCTATGGAAACCCTAATCATATTAGCACTATTAGAGGGTTTCTAATTTTTTGCATTCTAAGCTTACTCTATTTCAGATAGCTAGAATGTAATAAAAATAAAATAGCCCACCGAAATAATGTGTGCAAGAGATATTTAGTCAATAAATAAATGCCAACCTCTCTGAGGCTTTGGTAGGTAGAAAATTTTCAGAAACAACACGACCAAGTGCTCCGCTTCGCAGCTTGCATTGTTCCAGCGGACGCACTTCTAACTAAACAAAAAGCGGGTTCTAAAGAAAATCTAAATAGGTCTTCAAATGGTACCAGACAATTTGAAATAAATACGCTTTAAAGCAAAATGTGTAACGGCCTTTTGTGTAATGCCACAGTTTGTTTTACTCTATTAATGACTTACAATTTGCTGTCTTAATTAATCCTTACATAAACTACAGACACCAGCCACTGTTACAACTGTTCAAAACTACTCTCTCAACTAGTTCAGACCAAATATACTAAATAGGTGAAATGTAAATCACCATGGACCTGAATCAATCTCCCGAAGTATTGGTGAATAAATTCTACAAATATCCACATAAATACATTAAGACGAGGATAAATAATCCATGATACAAAAATGTCTCGCTTAAAATAATAAATACATATCATTTAGTCCAATGCAATCCTTACATTACGGAAGAATTAATAAATTAACTTCTCTGAAATAAGCTTATATGCAGGCAAGATCCCATCGCTCACAATTGGTCTAAAAACACCTCAGCATGACGCGCTGCTAATACTAATTGATCTCTAAGACTTACCTTCAAGTACATAATTACCAGATTATGAGTCCCTTGGTTTGCAGTATATTGCACTGTCATGCTTAAAACAGCTATAAAAGAAAGGATCCTTTTCATTGACTTATTTGGAGTCGCAAAAAAATGAAAATAAAAAGAAAATGATACAAAGGAAAGAAAGGACAGAAGGGTGGAGCTGTTAGGGGAGACCAATCCACTAATGCTGTTGGCACTCAGAGCAAAGTAACACCGTAACGTCAGAAAAGTGAGGTAATTGCAAGGTGAGTACATTTCCCGCTCTCAATCCGTCCCAGTCTACTACAGATGTGTGAGTTTGGGTGCTTCCTGAATCCTTCCCTGAGATGTGTGATGAGAAGTAAGATCTGTGTATGTGGGATGAGGGTCACAAGGTCCATGGTGGTGGTTGCCTGGGATCTGAGCAGCGCAGCTGTAGTCCACGCTGGCGGATGAAGGATGGGAAAGATGGCCGATATTGAACATCGGGCCAGAAGCTGGCATGGAATCAACAAAGTTACCTCCGACGTACACGGGGCTGCCCTGCAAATTGGGATTGGCAAAGCCGCCGTTACTCTGCATGGTGTGATGGTCGTACTCTGCTCCCGGGTATCTTTTCTGCTGGGGTAAGCAGCTGCTGAGAGGCGCTGTGTAAGCAGCCAGGCCATACATGTTTTGCTGCGATTTGGCGAAGGAGGTTGGTGAAGGAGCATCATAGCTAAGACTATTGACACTTGGAAGCTGGCTGGAGAATCCTACATGATTTGGGCCACTTAAGGGTGGACTTCGGTCAGGGGACTGTCCTACGGGAGAGTGCATGATCCCTTTGGCTTTCTGGTCTTTTTTGTACTTCATCCTCCTGTTCTGGAACCAGATCTTGATCTGCCGCTCCGCAGATTGGCCATTTCCACCCTGCGCGGCCGGCAGAGGTACCGGTTGAAATGAAACTCCTTCTCCAGCTCCACCAGCTGCGCGCTGGTATAGGCCGTGCGGACCCTCTTGGATGCGGGGCCTGGGGGGCTCTTGTCTTCACAGTTCTCTCCTGCTGGAGGAAGAGAAACAAATAAAGCTCCAGCCCTAAACCCCTGACCCAGCAACCCATTCACTGCAGGGCACTGATACAAAGATTGAAAGGACCCCCCTCCCCCACAACAGCCCTGGTACACCTGTGTGCAAGCACTGGCATTGAGTCCCTGGTCCAGTGGCTCGACAATCAATGGATCTGATCTGGTCTATTTTGGTGGACCTTCCCCAGGGTAGACTTGTTTGACCACCCATGAGGCACGTGGAGTTTTGTAGCTGGCACAGCACAGCCCTTCCCAAAACACCTCTCTTTGAGGTATTGCCAATGCAGAATCAGCCCTGAGTAGTCCAGTGTGGGGCCTTCATACACCAGTTGAATCAATGCTCAAAGACCACCCACCCCCCTCCCCTGGATCTGAACTCCCCCAGCCTCTTCGAAGACATCTTCGTGGCCTTGCCCCCTCCCCCCCACACCCCTCAAAGACCCAACCCTGCCCCCTCAGAGCAACGGATCCAACTCCTGTTGCTTTCAGTGGGAATAGGCCCTTATCCTGAGTTAGGGTGGAGCAGGACAAAATCAGCCATGGGGAGCGGTGCTGAGAGGACTGGGGCCAAGACTGAGGACAGCAGCGGTGCTGCGAGGGCTTGTGTAAACGCTGGGCTCCCTTCACCAAAGCAAAGGCCGAAGGCGGGTCTGAAGGCAACAGCCAGGAGCAGAGGACACAGAGCCTGAGATGTTCCCGCTGCGGAGTGTGAGGGCTACTGGGTCTCGCAGCTCATGCTCCTTGGTTTGCAGAGCCCCCGCCAGGGGCCGTCGAGGACTGAGAGGCTGGGGGAGGCCAAAGGGGGCGAGGGGCATGGCTGTTTCCTCTCAGCACGTCCGAAGGGCCGGGGGGGCGAGCAGCCAGCTCCACCCGCC